TTTTATATTTTATGAAGCACTATAATTTTATATTTCTTTATTGCTTCTAGATTTTGTGCCTTTCATACAAAGACCTTTTATGACTCTCATCTGGTAAAAAATGTACCCTGATATTCCAAGTTAACTAATTTCCAGGATCAATTTGTCAATTCCCTCACCAGAAAACAAAAACAAACAAATCAAAACAATAACAACAAACTAAAAAACATTGCATTGAGATTGAGTTGTATGATGTTCTTGCTATAGGTCTTGCACATCTTCGTAAGGCTTATTTCTGGGTGTTTTACCAGTTTTAAAAGGACCCTACTTTCTAAGTACCAAGATAGTGCTAGGTAAAGTAAATATATGAGTACACTTTTGGAGAATAGGGACATGATGATGATGATGATGATGATGAAGAGGAAGAGGAGGAGGAGGAGGAGGAGGAGGAAGGATGAGAAGAGGAAGAGAGGGAGAAGGAAGAAGAAGGAGGAGGCAGATAGCATTTACCACGTTCCAGGCATTTCTCTTCATCCTTTACATGTAATTATCTCATCTAATCTTTACAACAACCCCATTTTACAAATGAGGAAACAGAGGCACCGAGAGGTTAAGTAATTCCCCAAGACCTCAGAAGTGGTAAATGGCAATCATTGGACTGGAATCCAGGGAGTCTGCCTCCAGAGCCCATGTTTCTAACTATAGCAGCATTTTGATCTCTTATGGCATGAGTCTATTTGTAGGGAGACAGATGGAAAACTGTTTTCCATCTATTGGAAGCATCACACTTGGCTAGATGTATGCTCTGATGTTCTCGTTTCTGCAAAGAGCCTTAGCTCTTGAGGAGGGGACCAAGAGGGATTTAGGAAGCATCTCCCATTCCAGCCTTTGGGATTCCAACACTCTACTTTCAGCTAAAGAAGATATTCAGATCCAGAGCTGCACTTCCTTTATGGTTTCCACGGGGAGGTCTTGATTTTTCTTGCCGATTGCATTGACGTCTGCATGGCTCAAGTTTCCCTAGATTCTGTGTTTTTATGGGAATAGAATGTTTCACCTTTTCTTTTGGATAAGCATCCCACTTTTCTTGAGAGCACTAGCTTTTCCCAGTCATCTGTATCCTTTCTTTGACATAAAGGAAGGAAAGGAAAGGCCACCTGTGTGGTCTGTGGTTGAGGCTGAGGAGAGTGGGTTGGGGAGCATTGTGGCTCCCTCCTCTAGCATAGAGTGCAATGGATGCCGTGGGTTAAGAGAGAAGCTTTGTACATTTTGAAACCCCTCTTCTGGAAGTTTGGAGATTCCCAAACTATACTAAAGTATGGGGGTCATGAACTGATTTTGTTGATGACAAATTCAATCAACTCTGGAGTATCTGAATTAATTGGAAAACTGAGGCACGTTGATATTTAATGATTATGCGAGCTCCCACACAGCTGAAACAAGGATTTCTTTCTTTTCTAAATATCTGATTTGTTTATGTGAAAGACAGAGTTACAGAGAGAGAAACACAGACACACACACACACACACATATACACATACACTCACAGAGAGAGAGGGAGGGAGAGAGAGAGAGAGAGAGAGAGAGAGAGAGAGAGAGAGAGATCTTCCATCTGCTAGTTCACTTCTCAAATGGTTGTGACAGCCAAGACTTGGCCAGGCTGAAGCCAGGAGCCAGAGGCTTCTTTTAGGTCTCCCATATGGGTGGCAGGGGCCCGAACACTAAGGCCATCTTCTGCTACTGCTTTCTCAGGCCTTTAGAAGGGAGCTGAATAGCAAGTGGAGCAGCTGGAACATGAATAGGTGCCCATATGGGATGCTGGCTTCTTAGGCAGTGGTTTTACCCACTATGCCAAAATGCTGGCCCTGTGAAGCAAGGATTTCAAATTCCAGATATTCTAAATTGTCTCTCTAAACTCATAATTCCTGATTAATTCAGCAAAACATTTATTGAGCACTTATCCTGTTCTGGGCAGTATGTTAGGTTCTGGAGATACAGCAGTGAGCAAATAGACATGGACTCTTCTGCTTTCATGGAATTTTCAGTACATGTTTTGAGCCATTCCCTGGAGTTAAACATTCTGGAAGCACATGCAAAAAGAATTCAGTCCTTGAAGAAGATATTCATTAAAGAAGGAACTTCTAGGGGCCAGCGCCGTGGCTCACTTAGCTAATCCTCCCATATGGGCGCCGGTTCCAGTCCCGGTTGCTCCTCTTCCAGGCCAGCTCTCTGCTGTGGCCCAGGAGGGCAGTGGAGGATGGCCCAGGTCCTTGGGCCCTGCACCCGCATGGGAGACCAGGAAGAAGCACCTGGCCCCTGGCTTCAGATCAGCATAGCTCAGGCCGTGGCGGCCACTTAGGGGGGTGAACCAACAGAAGGAAGACCTTTCTCTGTCTCTCTCTCTCTCTCACTGTCTAGCTCTACCTGTCAAATAAATAAATAAAAATTTAAAAAAGAAGGAACTTCTATTAGCAAAGGTGTTTTTTGTGAGTCTCCCGAGACCAGATTTCTTTCTTTCTTTCTTTCTTTCTTTCTTTCTTTCTTTCTTTCTTTCTTTCTTTCTTTCTTTCTTTCTTTCTTTCTTTCTTTCTTTCTTTCTTTCTTGTTAAAACCTTTACTATTTATTTGAAGGCAGAGTTACAGAGAGGCATAAACAGAGGGGTGGGGGGGTCTTCCATCTGCTGGTTCACTCCCCAGATGGCCGCAACAGCCGGAGCTGTGCCAATCTGAAGCCAGGAACCAGGAGGTTCTTCCAGGTCTCCCACATGAGTGCAGGGGCCCAAGGACTTGGGCCATCTTCTACTGCTTTCCCAGGCCACAGCAGAGACCGGATTGGAAGTGGAGCAGCTGGGACTGAACCAACACCCATATGGGATGCCGACACCACAGGCAGAGGATTAACCTACTGCGCCACGGCGCCAGCCCCATGAACCAAAATGTGTGTGTGTGTGTGTGTGTGAGAGAGAGAGAGAGAGAGACAGAGACAGAGACAGACAGAGACAGAGAGAAAGAGACAGAAAGAGGCAGAGAGAGAGAGAGAGTTATCTACTAGTTTTGGAATTTGTTTTCTACATTTCTTTACTTTCTAAATTTTCCATGATGCAATACACTGTGCTACTTTTACAGTCACATACATATACAAAATCAGCTTTAAGAAGAGTGAGTTTTAGAACTAACATGAGGGGCTGGCATCGTGGCTCACTTGGTTAATCCTCCACTTGCGGCACCGGCATCCTATATAGGCGCCAGGTTCTAGTCCCGGTTGGGGCACCAGGTTCTAGTCCAGGTTGCTCCTCTTCCAGGCCAGCTCTCTGCTGTGGCCTGGGAAGGCAGTGGAGGATGGCCCAAGTGCTTGGGCTCTTGCACCTGCATGGGAGACCAGGAAGAAGCACCTGGCCCCTGGCTTCGGATCGGTATAGTTTTGCCCATAGCAGCCATTTGGTGGGTGAACCAACGGAAAGAAGACCTATCTCTGTTTCTCTCTGTCACTGTCTGTAATTCTACCTGTCAAATAAATAAAATCTATTTAAAAAAAGAACTAACAAGAAGTCGCTAACCTGAGAAGAACAACTATAAAAGAATAGGGTAAAATTATCTGATGAGGTGGGCTTCTGAGCAAGCATTGAATAGGCAGAAATAACTATCTGAAGAACTGTGGTCAGGGCTGGAGCCACTCTTCTGGAAGTTCGGTGATTCCCAAAGCGTGTATACAACACACTTTGATAAATGCATGCATTGTGAAATGATTACCATAACTTAGCTATTTAATCCATAATCTCACCTGGTTACCATTTTTGTGTGCATGTGTGCTGAAAACACTTATGATCTACTTTCTTAGAAAATGTCAATTATACATTATTATCAACTATAGTCACAATGCTACACATTAGATGTTCCAAACTTTCTCAGAAACTCAAAATGTGTACCCTTTGACCAAAATCTTATTTGCCCTAGTCCCCAGCCCCAAGAAACCATTTGGTTTACCCTGTTTCTATGAGTCCTACTTTTTTAGATTCCACATATAAATGAGATCATGCAGTATTTGTTTTTCTGTTTCTGGCTCATTTCACTAAGCATAATATCTTCTAGATTCCTTCATGTTACAATTGGAAGAATTTCCTTTCATTTTATGGTTAAATGATGTTCCCTTTGTGTGTGTGTGTGTGTGTGTGTGTGTGCATTTCCTTTATCCATTCATCCATCAACAGACACTTAGGTTGTTTCCACATCTTGGCTATTTTGAATAATGCTACAATGAACATAGAGTATAGTTAGCTCTTTGAGATACTGATTTCATTTCCCAGATTTGGGATTGCTGGATTGTACAGTAGCTCTGTTTTAGTTTTTAAAGAAATTCCTGTACTGTTTTCCATAATGGCTTTACCAATTCACATTCCTACCAACAGTGTATAAGGTTTCCCCTTTCTCCACATCCTTGCCAACACTTAACTTTTTTCTTTTTTATTATTTATTTTCATTTTATTTGAAAGACAAAGAGAGAGAAATAGTTTGTCTATTAGTTGACTCCCCAGATGCCTGCAATAGGCAGGACTGGGCCAGGCCAATGCCAGAAAGTTGAAACTCCATCCATGTCCCCTACATGGGTAGCAGGAAGCTGGATTGGAAGTGGAGTGGCTAGGACTTGAACCAGGCACTCCAATGTGTGATACAGACATCCTAAGTGGTTACTTAAGCTGCTGCACCAAATGCCTATCCCATTACTTACCTTTTTTCTCTAATGGCCATCCTAACAGGTATGAAATGATATCTAATTGTGGTTTTGATTTGCATTTCCCTGATGACTAATGATGTTGAGCATTTTTTCACATGCCTGTTTTCTTTGGAACAGTGCCTATTCAAACACATGCTATTTGTTTACATAGCTGTGACCATATGTGTGTTCACTCTTAACTAGGGCTCTTTACTTCCACGTATTGTGTCTCTGGACCTCTGGGTCTTCACCACCAACATTAACTGATTGCCTATTTTTCTGTTCCTCTTTTTTTTTTTTTTTTTTACAGCCGTGCTAATGGTCTTTTCCCTGATATCTGTCACCTATGGGGCTACCCTCTGCAATATGTTGGCTATCCAGATCAAATATGATGACTACAAGATTCGCCTTGGACCACTGGAAGTCCTTTGCATCACCATCTGGCGGACATTGGAGATCACATCCCGCCTCATGATCCTGGTGCTCTTCTCAGCTACTTTGAAACTGAAGGCTTTGCCTTTCTTAGTGCTCAACTTCCTGATCATCCTCTTGGAGCCTTGGGTTAAGTTCTGGAGGAGTGGGGCCCAGATGCCCAATAACATTGAGAAAAACTTCAGCCGGGTTGGTACCCTGGTGGTACTGATTTCAGTCACTGTCCTCTATGCTGGCATCAACTTCTCTTGCTGGTCAGCCTTGCAGTTGAAGTTGGCAGACAGAGATCTTGTTGACAAAGGTCAGAACTGGGGTCATATGGGCCTGCACTATAGTGTGAGATTGGTAGAGAATGTGATCATGGTCTTGGTTTTTAAGTTCCTTGGCGTGAAAGTGTTACTGAATTACTGCCATTCTTTGCTTGCCGTGCAGCTCATTATCGCATATGTAATTTCCATTGGCTTCATGCTCCTTTTCTTCCAGTACTTGCATCCTTTGCGCTCGCTCTTCACCCATAATGTTATAGATTACCTCCATTGTGTCTGCTGCCACCGGCAGTCTCAGGACAGGGCTGAGAACTCGGAGCCACCTGTTGAGGCTGAAGCAAGGCAAAGCATTGTCTGATTCCATCTTCTGAATATTTTAGGGATGGGCTAGGAGTTACCAAGAGCAACTGTGAAATTTCAGGAAAGGATGATGCTCATGGGTGAGTACCCACCAAGACATTTTCTAGAGTTTCCTGGTAAACCTGTAAGAAGAAGAGGTTGCTCCCAAAGAGGTTTTATTTTATTTCTTTCAGATTTACTGCTATGTTTGGACCCCAGAGGTATCCACTACTTACTTGGAAGCATCAGAAATACCATTGACATTCCTCCCACCCAGGTCAATTCAGATAACATACTTCTAAGCATCTTGGGCTCTCTCTGACTTTCTGGCCCTGCTCATTGGCTGAGGCATTACTGAGCTTTCCTGGACTGAGCAGAAGGCCCAGAATCCCATCCGAATTGATCATAATTGATCAGAGGATGTGATGGCTTACTGGCTGTGGGTACATCCCAGGAAACAGTCTGACTAATGTGAAACCTGCATCTGTGAGTGTCGCTGGAGTCTTCATTCTAATGAGAAGCCCCCATTATTAAAAGAGTTGCTCCCCCAATGAGTTAGCATTCCATTAGGATTTTGTTGTGGTCATTCCACAAGGACCTCTCTTTTCAGTGGCCCTTGGTAAGCATGCTCTGAAGTGGGAGTACACAGTAGGATTCTTTCAGGGCATAAGACAGAATGACTCCTTTTTTCCCTCAGGGACTTGCATAGCCCTCCAGTTTGTCCAGGGGAACAGCTGAGTGAAATCTCCCACTTAGTGCCTCATTAATAAGGAGTCCCACCAGCCAAGCCTTGCTGTGCTCCTGGCATTACAGTACTTGATGTAGACCTCAGAGAAGCTGGACTGCAGTTGAAAATGTTTCTGATGAGTGGAAATGAAGACTTCTTTGTGTTGGCTTGATTATTTTGTTGATTTTTTTTTTTAGGGGAGAGAGAAAATAATGGCTGGGACATCACCTTCATGTTATTTGGGACAGAGGAGGGAAACCAGATCACATTAAGTCATCATCAGTACTGGTTTAGCCCATAGGATTTTACTTTCTAATAAAGAACAAATGTTTGTCAACCCTCTTCTCATTCCTAAACTCCCAATGGGTGAATGCATGTCTCCCTTTCTGATATATCACAATGTTTACATCTTATTTCAGTTGGGTATTTTGATGAGAATGTCAGCTGGATGCCTCCAAGGTAGCCAAGAAATTCAGGATATTATGGCCACTTCCCAGTGGGACCAAATATCCCATAATTTACCTGAATAATGCTTGTCCATCACAGAGTAGGAAAATGAGAACTCTTAGTCATGTGTGCCACTTGTGGCCCTGACAGTGCTTCAAGTAATTGTCAACAATGTGACCTAAGATTTCCTGATCAAGTTTACTCTTGGGATCATGCTAAGAAGTTATCTAGCTATTTCCCCCTCTTATTCAATGTGAGGACATGATGTTGGGGGAAGCTCCTTCCTCTAAGTAGTGGGGCTGTTAAGCAGAATTATACTTTTACTTAGCATGGGTAGTGTGATTTTCTCAACTTCAACTGCTGTTGGGGGTAAGTGATGGGATAGTTAATTTGGGGGAGACTGTAGTGACTTGCTTTGAAGCAACAGAGATTTCGTTTTTCAGACTCAACTCCCTTATTCCATTTTCTCATAATGAAGAAGAGACTTAGGTTGTTGTCATATAAACCTCACAACTGACATTTGACTGTGTTATTCATGGTGAACTTGAAAGAAATAATCTATTAGAACAGAAGAACACATCGCCTCTTTGGAATTCAAGCAAGAATTTCTCCCCAGTGGTCAACATGCCCTTAATTAAGCCAAGGAGCAGCAAGGAACAATAATTTGGTTCATAAAAGCATATGAATCAGCTACTTAAGAGGTAGGTACTATGGAAATGTAGAGAGACACATCAAGTAGGGCAGGCCAATTATAGCTAGAGTAGAGATGCACAGGGCAGACTACACAGCATCCACCTCCCTCTGTAGTCCTCCCCAGCCTCGGTGATTTAATATCTTGGGAATGCAGGCAGTTTAGGGAGAGGGCTGTGGAGCAGCTTCCAACCTGAAAAACCTGCTTCCTTCACCCAAGAAGAAAGACTGTGGTGATACCTTATGCAAACGAATTATTGGAACCTCCTGAAGATGATAGCCTTCCTGTTTAACAGAAATCTTCCAGATACACCAGAGAAGGAATTGTGAAATATGGTGTTGGAGTGAGGGGACAGGGCAAGTGCCCTCTCCTAAGCAGTCTTCAAAAAGTTCATGGAAGTGCAGATGATAAAAAACTATGTATGGATTTTAAAAAAATATTACATCAAAATATACTTTTCATTCCATTTTCTATGAATTCCTTGAAATACCTTCATATTTGCAAGCATTTCTTCAATTGACTAAACTCTTTTTATCCTCTGAAATTTTTTTTAAAGACTTATTTATTGGAGCCCTTGCTATGGCATAGCATGTTTAAGCCACCATCTGCAATGCTGATATCCCACACGGGTGCTGGTTTAAGTCCCAGCTGTTCTACTTCCAATCCAGCTCCCTGTTAATGTGCCTGGGAAAGCAGCAGAAGATGGCTGAAGTCCTTGGACCCCTGCACGCTCATGGGAGACCTGGAAGAAGTTCCTGGCTCCTGGCTCCTGGCTCCTGGCTCCTGGCTCCTGGCTTTGGCCTGGCCCAGCCCAGGGCGATTACAGCCATTTGGGGAGTGAACCAGCAGATGGAAAACCTCTCTCTCTGTCTCTCCATCTTTTTAAAAGATTTATTTATTTGAAAGGCGGAGTTACAGGGAGAAGGAGAGAGAAGGAGAGTGAGGGAGAGAGAGATCATACATCCTCTGGTTCATTCCCCAAATGGCTACAACAATCAGGGCTGAGTCACCTGAAGCCAAGAGCCAGGAACTCTATCCGGGTCTCCTATGTGGCACTCAAGTACTTAGGCCATCTTATACTACTTTCCATGGTGCATTAGCAGAGAGCTGGATCAGAAGCAAAGTAGCCAAGTCTTAAACTCTTGCTCTGATATGGAATGCCAGAGTTGCAGGTGGTGGCTTAACCTGCTGTGCCACAATGCTAACCCAAGCACCATGGGGTACCTGGGTAAGAACAAATCTTACTGAGTGGAGGAGGTGGCACAGGTGAGACCAGAAAACCATAAAGTTTGGAAAAAAGCATTAGGCCGAAGTTACAATAGCTATTTTCAGATTACTGGAACTTTGGTAGCCTAAGTATGGACAAACTAACATGTTACGGAAATGTATTAAGTTGTCATGTTTATTTGCTCCACAAATACTTTCAAGACTATTGGTGTGGAGTTGTGAGGCACTGTGGGTGAGTTAAATAATATTAAATATTTAAATAAAACACTTAGGATAAATAAAGTTTATATTTATGAGTGCTTGCTATAGGCCTGGCACAGCACTAGGATTTCTTATGGATTGTTTCATTCAATCCTCACAACTGTGGGGAGCAACTCGGACTAGACTGTTACTCGAATTAAGACTTATTCTATGCATCTGCTCTCCCACAATATGGCGCTGGGAGAGGAGGAAACAGCTTCTACACAGCTGCCTCCAGTTCAACCAATAAACAGCAGGACCTGCTCCTGATTGGAGGAGAGCAGCGTACTCGGCGTGTGGGTAGCAGAGTTGGGATTGGTGGAAGAGGACTATAAAGGAGGAGAGAGACACCATGCACTGGGAACATCTAAGAGGAATACCTGTGCAGCCCCCGAGAGAGCCGGCCGGCGGTGTGCCGCTCCCCCGTGGAAGTGGGGAAAGTGGCAGGGGGAACCGCCCTTCCACGGAGGTGGAAGGGATGGTAGCCAACCCGGGAAGAACCAGCAGCAAACCCAGGGAGGGCCGAGCAGACGAAAGAACAGCGCAGGGTCCTGTGTCGTTCCTCCACGAAGAGGGGGAGCGACATAATGGTGCCGTGACTCGGATATGAAGCCTAGGCAGGGTTTAGTGTCGTTCCTCCACGAAGAGGGGGAGCGACACACAACAACACTTAATGAAGTAAATATTGTTATTATCTTCCATTTTACAGATTTAGATTCTTTTAAAAGTGTTTTTTCTTTATTTGAAAGGCAGAGAGAGAGAAAGAAAGAGAGAGATCTCCTATCCTCTGGTTTACTCCCCAGATGCCCACAACAGCCAGGGGCAAACTAGTACAAAACCAGGAGTTGGGGGCTCAATCTAGGTTTCCCAGGTGGGTAGCAGGAACCCAAGTAGTTGTGCCATCACCTGCTGCCTTCCAGAGTATGCACTGGCAGGAAGCTGGAATGGAAAGGAGAGTTGGAACTCAAACTAGGTTCTCCAATATGAGCTGAGGGCATGCTGAGCAACTGCTAGATCAAGTGCCTGTCCCTACAGATGATGATTGTTAAGACTTTGAAAAGTTAAGAGATTTGTGCAAGATCACAGCTAGTGTCAGAGCCAGCATTCAGTCTTCAAACCTCAGGCTCCAGACCTTATGCTCTTAATCTTATTTAACTAAGTCTTTGTAGGTCCTTTGTGAAATTATTTTAATGTTATTGGTTTCACCAGTGTTTTCTGGGCCCTGGCTGGGCCCATACCAAATATTTCTTCTCACAAATACTATTTATCAGGGAACACTGCTCAGTTCCTTCTAGAGAATAGTCAAGTCTTAAAATGTCCTTGTGAAAACCCGAACGTGTGCTCAGATACTCTTGTAGGTTTGTTCTTGGGTTTGGCGGGCACTATTGTAGACGGGCCCATTTCCCTTTTAGTTCCACGACTTTGGCTGCTGCGTGTTCCTGAACATACACCTTCCTAATTCTGCTTGTGAGAGAAAGTTGGAGACAACAGTTCCCACTCAGGTTTGTTTGAACTGTGACCCCAGAAACAGCCCATCAGGATGATGTTGAAGCCCATTCTCTTTTGCCCCCTCTTGCCAATATTGCTCTTTCTCCCACTGAGAAGCTGATTCTTAGTTGTATAGTGGGCCAGGGAAGTAGATGGTAGAGAATAACAGCCCCATCCCCCACCCCACAGCACACCCTAGCTATTATTGCCCTAGAAGCTTTGGTCAACCTGTACTGCCCTCTCTTACTCTCTGGGGGCAGCAGTATATGGAAAATCTCTGTACCTTCCTCCTCCTTTTGCTGTGAACCTAAAACTGCTCTATGAAAATAAAATATTTTTTAAAAACCTTGAGCCTAACATTATTAAACAAAATATAATCATTTATGAGAGTATCCACAATTGACTTAATAGGACCGTCTCTGTTCCAGAATTATAATCTTAAATGAACCTTTATAGAAATAAAATTGTATATTAAATTGTATGTTAGTTAAATAGGAAAAAAAGACACCCTGATTTTTGTTCTTATTGGCCAGTGGGACTTAACAAGCTTTGATTCTAACTTAGCAATCTTATTTTAACATTCTTTTGTATTTTTTTGTTACTGTCCATTTATAAAACACCATTTTTCATATCCTCTTTTTAGTTGACTTTACCATTCTACTGATTTCCTCTTTCATGAATTAAATAAAATGTTGACACATGGTCTCTATTGGTATGAAACTTGCATTTCTTTTTTATACTTTGAGAATTAGACTTTAACAATGATTTCATTTTTAAAAAACAAAATCAGCGATTTTGTGGGGAGGGGGTTGGAGGAAAATGCTCCAAACTGTTTTCAGCATTTGTCCATTTGGGGAGGTGTGGGAGAAATTATTGGGGATTTCTCCTGTGCTGAGTATTTTTCAGTGTTTGAATTTGGATAACTTCACATGATACTTTTAGTCCAAAAATATATTAGTTTAAAAAGTAAGCATATATGAAAAATGATCATACACCATGTATGCCCTCCACAAGTTTAAGATCTGGCTGAGAAAGTCGTTGGCTTCATACAACTAACTAGAAATACAAGGCAAATTATAATAGGCACCCTTGAATGAAGGGAGTTATGATCTGCTGAGTGCTCACTAGATATTTTGGATCATATACTTTCATTTTCTCACAGCAACCCTGTGAGGTAGATGCTATATATCTCCATTTCTTAGAGGAAGGAATTAAAGTTGAGAGTGACTTGTCCAAGGTCACACAACTGCTAAAGCAAAGATCCAGAACTAACAGCCTAGTCTTTCTGATTGCAAAGCTCCTATCAGTTCCATTCAACTACAATGCTTCCTCCAATAGGTGTTGGGTCTCACGGTCTGCACTGGGTAGGACTGAGGTCAGTGAGTGTTTTATATTCATCTTTGGCTCTTTAAATAGGGGCAGATCCATTCACACATCGCTCAGAAGCAAACAGGCAGAAGGCATCTCTGTACTATTTACCCAAACCAGCAGATGACTTTGCCTGCTTTAGAGGCAAGGTCCCTGCCCTCCACATGCTCATTTTCTTGGCTTTAGGCTCCAGTCTTCCTTGTTTCCCTGGCCTATTTGGCTCTGCTTCTTTGATTTAGCAACCTCTGCCTGCCTTACTTAACTCTATAACTTGTTCTTCCCTTTTTCATGGGCTCACTTGCCAATGAAACATTCCTCCCACCAGCCCCAACACCCAGGCACACACACCTGCTAGATAAGCTTCAGTATCTCTCCCACAGACAGAAGAGTGGGATTGAACAGGTGTAGTGAGGTCAGAAACCTAGAACTTCCTTGGGAGTGGCATGGAAGTATTGTGCCTAGGGGACCAAGCCAAGAATTCAGCACCAGAACAGAAAAGCAAAAGACTGCTTTAATTAAGAATGAGTTGGAAGGTGGGGTTTGAAGGATCAAAGGTAAATAACAGGGCAAATCTAAAGTCCGTGGGTATACCTAGCCTGGAAACCAGTGGGTCATTGGGTACTGAGACGGGAATGAAAGGAACGCAGTATTTCTAGTGAATACTTCAGTGAGGTTTAGGGTTTTACCGGACAATCATTAAAGCAATGTCAGACAGTGAGATATAAGCAAAGTGCTATGGGAGCATTGGGGAAAGAGAGATTTCATTCTGACTGAGGAGATGAGGAGAGGTACGCAGTGGATGTGAGATTTGAACCAAGTCTTTTTTTTTTTTTTTGACAGGCAGACTGGACAGTGAGAGAGAGAGACAGAGAGAAAGGACTTCCTGTGCCATTGGTTCACCCTCCAATGGCTGCCGCGGCCGCCGCGCTGCGGCCGGCGCACCGCGCTGATCCGATGGCAGGAGCCAGGTACTTATCCTGGTCTCCCATGGGGTGCAGGGCCCAAGCACTTGGGCCATCCTCCACTGCCTTCCCGGGCCACAGCAGAGAGCTGGCCTGGAAGAGGGGCAACCGGGACAGAATCCGGTGCATCAACCAGGACGAGAACCCGGTGTGCCGGCGCCGCAAGGCGGAGGATTAGCCTATTGAGCCGTGGCGCCAGCCCTGAACCAAGTCTTAAAGGATAAGTGGGGTTTCCATTGGTGGAGGTGAGTGGTAGGTGCATTTTAGCAAAGGGAACATTGCAAGACACAGAGGTGTCAAGTTCATGGCATTTATGTTCACAGAGCAGCAAGTTATTACAGCATGTCTGGAATATGGTATGCATTAGGGATAAAGTGCAGTTAGAGATGAGGTTTGAAAGGTAGACTGGATGGTGGGAGAAACGTGGAGAGCCTTAAATGTATTGGCTAAGGAAGCCTGAATTCAAACCTAAGCAATGGGAGGATCACTGAAAACTTTAAAAATATCATACAGAACAATTGATATTTTGGGCATAATATATAGTTTTATGATTTTTTTATTCTTTTTAAAAATTCATTTGAGAGGTAGAACTATAGACAATGAGAAGGAAAGACAGAGGGAGAGGTCCTCCATCTGCTGGGTCACTCCCCAAATGGCCGCAACAGCTGTAGCTGAGCCAATCCGAAACCAGGAGCCAGGAGCTTCTTCCGAGTCTCCCACGTGGGTGCAGGGGCCCAAGGACTTGGGCCACCTTCTGCTGCTTTCCCAGGCCACAGCAGAGAGCTGGATCAGAAGAGGAACAGCCAGGAGTAGAACCAGCACCCACATGGGATGCCGTTGCCACAGGTGGAGGATTAACCTACTGTGCCACAGCACCGGCCGCTATGATTTCTTAAAGATTTATTTTTTTAAATTTTTTAAAAAATTTATTTGATAGGTAGAGTTACAGACAGTGAGAGAGAGAGACAGAAAGGTCTTCCTTCCGTTGGTTCACTCCCCAAGTGGCCGCAACAGCCAGAGCTGCGCCGATCGGAAGCCAGGAGCCAGGTGCTTCCTCCTGGTCTCCCATGAGGGTGCAGGGACCCAAGCACTTGGGCCATCCTGCACTGCCTTCCCGGGCCACAGCAGAGAGCTGGACTGGAAGAGGAGCTGCCGGGACTAGAACCGGCACCCATAAGGGATGCCGGCAACGCAGGCGGAGGATTAACCAAGTGAGCCACGGGGCCAGCCCCTATTTTTTTTTTTTTTAATTTGAAAGGCACAGTGAACAAAGAGAGATCCACCATCCATTGGTTCACTCCCCAAGGGGCCACAACTACCAGGGCTGGGTCAGACTGAAGCCAGGAGCCAGGAGCTTATTCCATGTCTCCTATGTGAGTGGCAGGGGCCCAAGCACTGGAGCCATCATCTGCTGCCTTCCCAGGCTCCTTAATGGGGAACTGGATCAGAAGTGGAGCAGCCAGGACTCAGACCAGTGCCAATATGGGATGCTAGCATTGCAGGTGATGGCTTAACCCGCTATGCCACAACACCGGCCTCTCTTGGCCTCTTTTCTGTGAATTTTAACACAAGTGTAGATTTATGTAACCACCACAATAATCAGGTCACAAAAATTTCCAATATCCTATAGAATTCCCTTGTGTTATTCTTTGATAGTCACAGCCTCCTCACGTGCCTAACCCTGGAAACTACTGATCTGCTCTCGGTCCCTATAGTTTTTTTTTTTTTTTTAAGATTTATTTATTTGAAGGACAGAGTTACACAGAGAGAGAAGGACACACACACACACAGAGAGAGAGAGAGAGAGAGAGGTCTTCCATCAGCTGGTTCACTCCCCAGTTGGGCACAACGGCCTGAGCTGCACCGATCCAAAGCCAGGAGCCAGGAGTCTCCCACACGGGCACAGGGGCCCAAGGACTTGGGCCATCTTCTACTGCTTTCCCAGGCTATAGCAGAGAGCTGGATTGGAAGTGGAGCAACCGGGACTTGAACCGGTGCCCATATGGGATGCCAGCACTGCAGGCAGTGGCCTCACCCGCTACACCACAATGCTGGCCCCCCTATAGTTTTTTTCAAATGTTTTATTCATTTATTGGGAGGTAAGTTATGGACAGAGGGAGAGACAGAGGGAAAGGTCTTCATCTGCTGGTTCATTCCCCAAATGGCAGCAGCTGCTGGAGCTAGGCCAATCTGAGGTCAGACCCTGAGCTTCTTCAGGGTCTCCCACACCAGTTCAGGGATCCAAACACTTGGGCCATCTTCTACTGCTTTCCCAGGCCATAGCAGAGAGCTGGATCAGAAGTGGAGCAGCCAGGACTAGAACCGGTGCCCATATGAGATGCCAGCACTGCAGGCAGCGGCTTAACCCACTACACCACAGAGCTGCCCCCACTCCTACCATTCCTATAGTTTTTATCTCTTTGAGACTGCATACAGATGGGATCATACAGTATACAACCTCTTGCATTGACGGATTCTGAGTCCAGGAGTGACTTGACTAGGGCTATTTTAGGAAGATCGCTTTGGTGTTTGTCTGACGGATGGATTAGATGAGGGTAAAATGAGAAGCGAAGAAACCAGCTGTAAGAGTTCAAATCAGAGATGACCATTCCTTTGGCACACATGGCGCATATTAATTTAGAGGCTGGTACTTAATGAAACAGCTGTGAGAAGGTAATGAAACTAAACTAGGTTGTGCTTACAAAGCTACGATGCTTTAATATACTTGAGTATATTTACCAGAGGATATCATAGCACACACAAAAACCAGTCCACATTTTATTTTTTAAAAAAGACATGTATGTGTTGTAGTCACAGAAAAATGTCTGGAAGATATACAAATATATGTCAATATCTTTATTTGTTATTGCTACATGGTGGGATTAGAGGTGATAATTTCTTCTTTATTGTATGATACATTTCCAAAAACCCTACATCCTCTCTTGTTTCTCCCCCAACCCCTACACACACACCTGATTGATGTTTCATATGTAGATAGGAAAATAGGTAAGCCATGTACAGTTCTTATCTTTCTTTTTTAACTTTAAAAATGTATTTTTTATTTATGCACTTCCCAGTGCGGGCATGCGCATGAGAGAGAGAGAGAGAAAGATGCAGAGACGGAGACCCACCTGCTATTTCATGCCTCAAATGCTTGAGATAGCAGGGCTGAGCCAGGACAAATCCAGGAGCCTAAAACTCAATCTGGGTCTTCCATGTGGGTGTCAGGGACCCGAGTACTGCCTCAGCAGGAAGCTCTGCTCCGAAGTAGAGTCAGGGGGTCGGCGTTGTGGTGTAGTGGGCTAAGCTACCACTTTGTGACACCGACATCCCAGTTGGGCACCGGTTCGAATCCCAGCTGCTCC